AGAAAAAACTTTTGCGTATGCGCATGCGTGGTGAGACCGGCCTATGACAAACTCCGCAGGATTTTAAAGCCGTACCACGGGCTGGGGTGCAGGGGGCGGGATACAATCCCTGCTCGAACCCCCTTCTCCGGGCTCCCCATCCCCCAGGCATCTGCTGGAAGAGAGAGATCCGCTCCGCAGCCACTGTCTGCCTGCAGCCGCTCTCTTCGCTCCTTCCCAAAGCAAGGACCTGCAGGAGGCTGAGTCCCCACTTCCCGGCCGGACTCTTTGGCTTGCCTGTCCCAGGCCGCTTCCACGCGGGCTGCTGCCCCGGCACTGAGCCTCTTGGAGGATTTCCCCTGCATTCTTGCCCTTGAGGGTGGGGTCCCTGAGACTGAAGTGGGGCTGGAAAATCGGGTAGGCACACGCATCCTGCAACTCCCCCAGTGCAATAGATTTGGATGCTTGGGAGCGAGATTGAGCATCTAATTAGGACGCTGGCGCGTCCGGATGTGATGCCTGGTCTTGCCAGGTGGAGCTCCTCAGTGCCCTAAGGTGAGAAAGGAGCCTGCAAAGTTCAGCAAAACTGGGTCCCTGGCACTGGGACTTGTGAATCCTTCCAGGCACCTGGGCTCAGGCGGGGCAGGGTTGGTGGATGAGTGACCCCCACCTTCAGGCCTCCAAACAATACCTCACACTGGAGTGCACTTCTTGTTCTCAATCCTCCCCATTCTCTAGACATTCCTGGTGGAAGTCACACACACACACACACACACACACACACACCAAAATCACACACACACATGGGAGACACACGACACAGAGGCAAAAAACACAGACAGGGGTACTTGGGGTGGTGGCTGTTTTGTTTTTCTACTTTCCTGCCCTCTTCCCCCCCCTGGCTGATCACCCCAGCCTGTGCAGGGAGAGATTCTGGTGACCCCGCAACACCCCTGGCAGGCCCTTCCTGCTCCTTACTTGTCTCCGCCGACTGGACCCCTCCACAGCTCTGGCCTCCCTTGCTGAGCACATCAATATGTCAAGTGTGGGCTTTCCAAGAACTGCAAGGGATGCCCTTGTTCCCAGGGGCTGGCTTTCTTTCTCCAGGGAAGAGGGGACCCAAGGTTATCAAAGATCCCCTGGGGACATCTCTCCACCTCCTGAGGCCACTTTCCCCTCATTCTCTCTAGGCCTTCACTGTTTAACCATCAGGTGGGCATTTCCCAGTTTTCCAGTCTATCCTGAGATCTGCCCAAGGGAGACAAGGATCTAACCAAGAGGGGTCTGTGCCTGGCAAATCCATCCTCCCCCAGTCCCTCTCCCCACTCTGTTTTGCCCAGCCACTGCCACCTGGGGTTCTCCTGGCTGGCACCCCAGAGGATGCCCCTAAAATCCACTCCTTGGACCCAATTCATGGGCGGAGGCACTGAGAGGTGGCAGGAAAGGAATTGGTTAAGAACACAGCTCCCAGAGGGTTCGAAGCCACTGGCACCTGAGTGCCTGGAGGCAGTACGCTCAGAGGATCCTATTCCCAAGAAGGAAAGGGCCCTTAATGTAAGAATTTGCTCCATTCATGCAATCAGCCCAGAAACACTGGCTACCGAATCGCAGACCTTTATTAATTGCTATATTCTGAATTATCTCGATAATTTTCTGTTTCTTTACA